AGTCTAGTTGTTGTGACGTAAATATAAATTGGATTTATTAATAGACAGAAAAAACATACCTCTAGTTATCAATAAAAACATGAATTTCTATAAATAAAAATGAACTTTTTTTGAGTACTCATTATCGGAACCCCAATTTACCAATCGGTATGTAATTTTTAAAAATCCGATAATTACTTTAAACTTGGTAATTTAATCTTTTCAAAATAATTAATTAATTTTAGTGCAACATAAGTTCTAAGTTTGAAAGTATAATAAAATTTATTTTTTAAGTACAGTGAGAGTACTATTCAGTATTCTGTGCTAATTAACAAGTACATTTACTAGAAAGTGTTATTAGAAATAATTTATATTAATAATATGTTTACAAAATAATATTGGAATTTTTAAAATTTATTTTATAAATCTTGTCAAACAATGTTGTTATTAATGATTGATATAAAATTGCTTAAAGAAAATAAAATAAATAATTATAATTTACTTATTTTAAGTAAATTTTTATTTTTAAACAACTGTCAATTTAAATAAATTGAATATGTAGTCATTTTAAACTGTAAATAATCATAACAAAATTGACAGAATATATTATATCATGGACATACAGTATTTTATTGGATATCATTGTATTGTACACAATCTGAATAATAATTGAGCAAACAAGCAAAATATTTTTCAAACATATTTTCAAACATAAAATCACTGACAAATAGCCAGAAAAATGTCATTAAAATGAAATGGAAAATTAAAAACTACATTAAAAATAAACTTCACTTTAAAAAATGGTTATTTAATCCTTGAGTGTGGATACAAAAACACACACATAAGTCGATCTAAGTTAGTACTGAATTTATTAGCATTTATGCCAATCATACCGTACACTAATGGACTAATAATTAGCAAATTTAAGACATGAAAAACTTTTCGCAAAAACATTAGAGAGTAATACAGAAGATTGCGATCAGAAACTGCCCGAAGATGTAGTCATTATGAGAGAGAATTAAAATTCCAAAACAGATGCAGAAGAAGATATCCTTAAAAAGAAAAAATACATCAATAGTAGACCTTTTTCAGGAGTAAAAGGCTTTTTTCATTTGTAGCTAACCTTTCAGTGAGAAACCTTAAGGTCTCGTTAGTCACCCAGAAGTTAGTGATAGTCTCTCTCTGAACACAATATTAACTATAGATTTCTACGGAAAATAAAATGTTTTCGCGAAAGCCTTGCGATCATAGATAAGACACCATTGAACACAATGTGTAATAAAATATATGTGCAATTAATTTGTCTCACAATCGATTGATTGACTCCTTTTCCTGATTGGACCAGATTTTTTCAAAATTCAATTAGTTATTTATATGCACTTAATATCTAATTTATGAAACGAGAAAAACATTGGTAAGGACTTTGATATATAAGTGTGAGCCGTATTCTGCACAGAAGTTTTGTGAACAACTTTCAGCTCCGGTTACTTTCTCTAAGTAATGCTTATTAAGCAAGCTTATTAAGTAATGTTTCACTAAACAGTTTATATAGTTGTTTATATTTTATAACAAAACATATGATACTTATTTTTTTGAATAACAATTACAATATTCTTAAAAGTGAGTGATTTTACTGCTTTATTGAACAAAAACACTATTCTTACAGTAGTTTTACAAAATTCATTGAAACGAAAGCATTTCGGAAAACTCAATGTTGTTTCAAAAACTTGTTTCCAATAAGTTATTTCTAAACCCAAGACTTACCAAACATTTCTCACTTGATTTCATTTTACAGTACACTCTCTCCGAGCTCTCTCTCTCTCATCAGTAATATATATGTTTTGAAACTAACAGTTTGTTTGAAGACAACGACATCTCTTCAGTTGATTGTATCGTTGAATTCGACGAAAAGTTTATTTAACTTTCAATTCGTCTCGCATTTCATTTTCACACAATTTTTTTCAAAAACAAGTGATAATTCATATTGTGCTCAGAAATGGTTGTGGAAGTGGCAGAAAATGACATCCGATTTCATAACTATATTAAAGATTTTCGTCAGAATGTCGACAAATGGTCATATGATTGGCACAAATACCCGGGTATTCCCTACACTTTTAAAGTAGAAGACCCTCTGATTCCTGTGGGAGACGATGTCCAAGAGTTGACCAACAGATACTGGCATTACTCCATCTACTTATCCGTCGCCTATATTATAGTCATCTTCGGGATCAAGCATTTAATGAGTTATCGTAAGACTGGATATGATTTACGACGATATCTGACGGCTTGGAACTGCTTTCATACTGGCATTACTCCATCTACTTATCCGTCGCCTATATTATAGTGATCTTCGGGATCAAGCATTTAATGAGTTATCGTAAGACTGGATATGATTTACGACGATATCTGACGGCTTGGAACTGCTTTCTGTCCGTATTCTCCATAATGGGAGTCATTCGATGTCTTCCAGAATTCATTCATATCTTATATACGAAAGGATTTAATGCTTCCTTTTGTGATGCATCCTATTATGAGGTCTGTATTCATATCTTATTTAATTATTATATCTATATTATAGTCATTATTTTAAATTGATAAGTAGTTATATGTATTATAAAGATGTTAGTCCAACTTAGAGAGTTATAGAATTTTTAAAATGTTTTTAAACGTTTCATTTGGATGTGTAATCTCTAAGTCTAATCATTCATCAAATATTTCTTTTACCTGGAAATATGTCTATTTATAAGATTAATACAGTTAGAAATCATGTTTAATCATCTAAAAACTAACCCGATTACAACCAGAATAAACTAACCCATGTCACTGGTTTAAATTAATTATTAATAAACATTAAGATATGAAATAAACTTGCAAGATATGTGCAAAATGAATCTTGTTGGCATAGAAGCTTATTATTAAATGAATGAATGCCATTATCTTTGATCTATTATTTATTTATAATATCTGTTGAATATTTGATGAAAATTCTGTTGAAAACTGATTTTTAAAACTTTCCTTATCAATAACAAAGAATAGTTATACTAAAGAATTATTAATTAACTTATTCAATATACAATTAAGATAATAAGAAAAATAAATATTTTTATTATTGTGTATTATCAATGAGACGAGAGCTAGTTTTAATTTTAAATGAATTTGAATTAATTAATAATAAAATAAATGCAAACAATTCCGTCAGTGTTTATGATATTCTTCAGACTCATTGATCTCTTAAGAAACAAAATAATAGTTAAAACTTGTCGTGAATTCTGTGATATTGACCTCAAACTGGTTGTGAGAAAAATAAGAGAAAGTTTTTTGGGCTTAAAATTAGGAAAAATAAGTGAAATAAATGCACACATTTTTACTTCCAATAAGACTATTGAACTTTTAATGAATATTTATTGTCGACTTTTTTGACAAAAAATCAGATAAAATGCTTTTAATTTATGTTTTAATAAATTATTTATGAATACATTTATAATGCTAGTTATTTTTGATATAAACCTAAAAAACAATTGCTTTTCTAAACAAACAAATGTTTTATTTTAAATCTATTGTTTGCTTATGATATTTATTTTGATTTTAATAGAGATATCTAGCATTTTATTTTTAATCTGATATTTGCTTATTATATGAAGTCATATTCAATGTCAATTTAAATGCAAATTAATTGTCCTAGATAAGCCTCATAAACCTAATTATATTTTGAAACAATTGTTAAACAAATAAACAACAAATGTTTACAAATTCATTCATCCATAGGATGTACGGCTGAATATATGGTACCTGTATTTCACGCTATCGAAAGCACTGGAACTGTTGGACACAATGTTCATAGTATTGAGAAAACAGAGACTAATAACACTTCATTGGGTGCATCACGTGTTGACACTGACCTACTCGTGGTACGTGTTTGGCGACGTACCGGCCACTGCCCGCTGGATGGTTAACATGAATTTCCTCATCCACTCAATGATGTACACCTATTATGCACTGAAAGCCATGCGATTCGTCATCCCAAGAGTGGTCAACATCACCATAACATCCCTACAAATCGCACAAATGTTTGCCGGACTCTTCATCAACTACTTGGCCCTTCACTACAAACTGTCGGGCATTCCGTGCGATTTGTCCCGAAAAGTGGCGATCTTTGGATTTTCTCTATACTTCCTATTCTTCCTATTATTTATGAATTTCTTCATCAGATCCTATGTCTTGAAATCGACGCCACAGAAGACAAAACAACAGCAACTAAAAGAGTATAAATCCATTTGTAGGCCAGACGTCAACCAGAATACGAGTCAACAGAATCACAATCATTATAGTAATGGCATTAGCAGTGAAAATGCTAAGAAAAACATTTAAAACCAGTTTACAATCAATGCATAAAGTTAGACACTTTTGAAAATCAGTTTTTATGGTACATAATTTGATGACAAATGTTTGATAAGCAAACTAGAAAGTGAACATTTTTTAGCATTTATCTTTTTAATTATTTATATTTTTAATAAAATAAAAACTTTATATTCACACAATTTTTATTATACTTGCCATTATAATATAAAATTTGTGTTACTTTCTATCACCTTATTAAATGTTTTATTTTTATATTAAAAGTATTTTACATATTTAATAAGTATCTGTTTTACGCACTTTTTATATTTATAATATTTAATAATATCAATTAATTAATAATAAATAATACTAAAGTATCCGTATTGTAATTGCTCAATATGTCAATTTAAAACTAATTATAAGTATTTGGGTTTTTATAAATTTTCCATTATAAATTTAATTATTAAACTTATTATGCTTTTTATGATAAAATCATTTAGTGAATAATAATGATACAAATAAATTTATTAAAACATTTATTAAATTTATTAGATCAATGTAAACATAACCGACATACATGCAATAAATTATTTCTTATATTTTTAAAAATTTCAATTAATAATAATTTATATAAATCAATTATAATTTAAAATTATATTTATACTATATTTGAGAATTGAAATGCTATTTTAATATCAATATACTATATAAATATATATTAATATTTTATATTTAACGTAACTATTTCGGCACTACATTTAGTTAACATGATTTTTATGATAAGTTTTATTTGTTTTTAGATCTGAAAATACACTTAATTACAAAACACAATAAGATTGTGTAAAGTTCTTCAAAAGTAGTATATTTGTGTCCATTATTTTCATATGTATTTCCCATTTTTTATATACTGTAAACCACTCAAAAGACGTCAACTTATGAGTGAATTTCCTTAAATTTTATAATTGGGTTTAAATTATACATTCAATTTAGTACATAATATCATCTAAATTCAGTGCTAAAATATATTTTTATCATAATTGCTTTATAAACAATTTTCATTTCGAAACAGAAATCTTAATGCCTTTTCATTTTGTCACTTATTTAGTGAAAAATTGGTTTTTTATTAGTCGACAAAATTCCATAATTAGACAAAAATTGTGTAAATGCCTAAAAT